ACAGCATGTGTATGTGAAAATTCTTCTTGAAGCCATACAAATAGCCAAGACGAGTTATCGGTTAACTCCAATTTTTGGCATATGAAGAGGTAGAATAGTATATACTTCTGTTAGAGTAAACTCTCACGCACTATACTTTCCTCATCCACGTAACTATGCTAGTGCAAAGCAAATTAATGAACAGCATGTAGAACCTTTCCCATTATACTCTGATGACACACTCTTTACTCAGGATATGCCAACTGATCTTTCACTAATAGATGATTTTAGGGAATTATCACGGTGTAAGTCGTCATGTATACATTTACACATGCCCAGGCTTTGTGTGCACGTTTATTCTGCCGCAGACGGAATATGCGAATTGGCGATCATACAAACTAACGTTCTCACAGCTCTGAAACAATGTAACTATACACCGATTTTCAAGGAAAACTGTGTTTCATGCGCATCTCAAATATTCCTGGAAGTGTTGGACAATGGTCCGAATTGTTGTTGCCTCTAAGCAAGACCTCAGACACTGGAACTAGTGTCTTGTTGTATTATTCAAGACATGATAGTTCATGACCAAGACTCCTATTGCTAAACATTTGCCCAGTAGCAGGTAATTTATATAAAAGGATTCATTAATATTAGTACACGCCAATTTATTACTTCCACTATGGGTATAATCAATTGCCTATTTATAAATCCAACTGATATTCGATAGGGCAACTTGTCATGTTTATGAGAACTCTTACCCAAGATAACTTGTATCCGCCTGAAAGTACTCGTACCCACTTCGAAGAAAAATTTTATCCAAAGAACAGAAAGTTACGAGTTAATACCGTCATATATAAAATATCAAGGAATACTTGGTGAATTGTATTAAACAAAAATAAAATTGGAAAATAATTTCGAGACTATATGGGTGAAGATAAGTAATAGAAGGGGAACTCTTGTTCTTGGAGTTATTCATATCACCAAAATAGCAAGTGGTAAAGATTTATATCCAAACTTCTACTTTTTGAAGAGTTGGTATAAAGTATGAACCACTACCTTACAACTAATTCAGGATAGATACAGTATTCCTTACCTGAGCCCCAAGTGCGGTCAAAAGAATGATCATAACCACAGCAGATAGGAGGCAATAACATTATGTTTGGTACTCTGAATATTAACTTGAAGCAAATAGGAAATATCAGTATTCGCGGTGGGACAGATCTCAACCTTACCACCGGGGCAGGGATATCCCTCACCTACCCCACCCCCTTCCCCCTCCTTATTTGCAATAGGATTAATTACCGTCAAGCTGACGGCAAGAATGTGTGATTTCGATTTACCCTTATCGTTACAGCTATAATATTTAACATATTCGAACCTTTGTCGAATTTGAAAACTGAGAATTTATATGAACATTACATAAAAGTCATGTTTAGGGAGATTATTGATGAAGGAGCTGATTGACAGTCCGATCCACCGTGTGAGATAAGAATGACAAGGTGATGTGGGGATAAATCTTTGCTCTGTGGAGAAGAGGAGGGGTCCACTGAGTCATGAGGGCTGCTCCCTACAATTACTACAATGTCATAGCATGACGCAGATGTATGCATAAATGGTTACTTTTAAATTATTATTCTATATGTGACACTCACGCGCCATAGTTTGGATGCACCCCTACTCCTGGGTCGACGGAAGTCCTAGTCAGGGCTGCTAACTATAGTGATGGTAGTAGGTAGTAGGCAGCTACCAAACATGGAGGTACTACCGCCTGGGAAGATATTGGAAGCATAATGTGTAGACCCTGCTGCCATAAGGCAGCACGAAAATTGTGACCAAGTCCTAGGTTGCTGACTGACTTTGTGCCTCATTTACACACAATTGCAAGGTCTCAATTGTTTCTCTTACCATTGACAACACAACATGCATATAATATTTCTCACTCTTGATCATTTTTCATTTTGTTTTTCTTTATTATTATTATTATTAAAATTATTATTATTATTAGTAGTAGTAGCAGTAGTAGCAGTAGTAGCAGTAGTAGCAGTAGTAGCAGTAGTAGTAGTATTAATGCAGTGTTGTTATTTTATTATTATTGTTATCATTATTATTTTATTTTTATTTGTGTATTTTTATTATAAACTTTACTTATCTGAATTATTATTATTATTATTATTATTATTATTATTATTATTATTATTATTATTATTATTATTATTATTAATATTATTATTATTATTATTATTATTATTATTATTATTATTATTATTATTATTATTATTATTATTATTATTATTATTATTATTATTATTATTATTATTATTATTATTATATTTTCGACCCCCAGGCCCCGATGTGGGCCAGTGACCTGTGCCCCGGTGGTCTAATCCCCGTAAAAAAGAAGAAAAAAGTGTCGTGTAGTCACTAAAAATCCTGTATCGTGCATATATTCTCTCAAATATTACATCATGAACTGCTATTCGTACAATCCAGCGAAGCTTCTAGCTACCACATTGCACCACTGAACGATAGTTGGTGTGGGGTGAGGGGGGGGGGACGTTCGGTATGAAGCCAAGGCTACGACTTCCATCGAGTCAGGAGTAGGGGTAGAGGGTGCATCGAAACTATGGCGCGTGAGTGTACACATAATCTAAACATCATGAATATCCTGTTACTTAGTATGAATTTCAATTTCAACGGTCGCCTGATATACTAGCCGGTATAAGCCACCACCGCTACCACCACACCACCACCACCACACCACCACCACCACCACCACCACTACCACACCACCACCACCTCCACCGCACAAGGTCCGCACATGTGCTAATCTTTCTATTGCTAAACCATATCAAAGCTCATAACAACCTGACTGCTAGAACTGGTGATGTTAAATATTCCTTTGATTCACATTGTAAGCGACTACATCATCTCAACACAATCGGCAGTTCGGGAGGGACCTGTCCTATGGGATACTACGGCCTACTTTATCAATCTATAGCCTAGCCGTAAATAATATGTAAAAGACAACATACAGAGCTGAACCAATAAATTAAACATAAACATTGCAATATCATGTCGGCAGTATTAATATATCATAAGTTACAGCAAACGTGTTCCACGGCCCTGCATTGGATGTGCACCTAATGTCTATCAGTAGAGAGCTCTTAATGGTTGAATTTCACATGTCAGTTCTTATTGATACATAGAAAGACGCACAAGGTTATATCAAAACCAAAATATATCCTATAACCTACTAACTCTAGAAAACTTTGCAAGCCTCGACAGTGGCCCAGCACGACCACAGTGACACCACCTGAATATACGATTATTAATAGATAGTTGTAAACGCCTTAGTTAAGGACGTTCAGGTTACGGGCAAGTCGAAGGGAATGATTGAAACCCGTCTTTTGACGCATTCAATATTTATTGATGTGGTCAAAACCTGCAGAGGAGAAAGCGTTCATAATATTACAAGGTGATCCATCTGATACATAATTAGTTAGTCTCATACAATTTTATCTTAATTACTATTTATTAAACATACTGACATAACACAAAGTTCATAACTCTATTAATCTTAGCTTCGCTTCATTCTGCATTGTCTTATTATTCCAGGCTAGGCAGAAACGAGTAGGCGTAATTAGTCAACAATATTTCAGTACCGAGGGGTATGTCATCACTTAGGCTGTACTTACAAGTGCGGGTCAATGCAGATCAGTATGGTGTTCCAAGAGAAAACAGTATTGCGTAAATCGTCCCAGCACAAATTCTCGGACAGGAGAAGGCTGGTCTTCACAGCAACACTAGAGAGGGCGATCTATCTCATGGAGGGGCGGGCAGCTACCGCCACCAGTCTAAGACAGTCCACTCAGCAGAACCAGGATTTGTCTGTAAACACTTCTACATCTGGCGAGGTCACAGATCGAAAGATTTAATGACATCACACGCCAGCACTGTAGCTGAAGCCAGCGGCGATAACACTCCCGGCGTTGGGCAATCGCCCAAGATTTACGGTGTGGCGTGTTCAATAAGGTATACACGGGTAACTGACCTTCGGAACTCCCTAGCTACGGTTCGCACAAGCACCTGGCGCACTAGACTGGCTCCCAGGGCTGTTGTCGACCCTGCCCAATGGCCATTTGTTGCGACGAAGATCTTCTCAGGTGACGAAGACAAGGTCGCCTTTCTGGAGATTACAGGTTGGTTCTATGTACCTCTGTCTTTTGCGGAGTAGTGGAAGGTACTTCCTCACCCAGCGTTTCCAGAAGCGGTCTGCTAGGAACTGTACGTGCCGCCACCGTCGTTGATGTAAGACTTTCAGAAGACATCCTCCCAATGGCAGATCAGTATGGTGTTTCAAGAGAAAACAGTATTGCGTAAATCGTCCCAGCACAAATTCTCGGACAGGAGAAGGCTGGTCTTCACAGCATCACTAGAGAGGGCGATCTATCTCATAGAGGTGCGGGCAGCCACCGCCACCAGTCTAAGACAGTCCACTCAGCAGAACCAGGACTTGTCTGTAAACACTTCTACATCTGGCGAGGTCACAGATCGAAAGATTTAATGGCATCACACGTCAGCACTGTAGCTGAAGCCAGCGGCGATAACATAGTAATACTGTGTAATCAATGAGTTTTATTATAATTGTGGGAAGCGGAAAGTATAGTGTATCGACCGTAAGAGGCGTTACATAGGCCTGTATCGTCGAGTATGGTGTGAGTATGGTGCTGTGGTTGGCGTAGCTGTGTGGATCGTTTTCACAGAAGGGATACATATTTAAAACTCTATTGTGGCGATGGGGTAGTCACAGTTTTACCTCTGGGGCAGGGACAAGGACTCCACCCTTGCCACCAATCAGTTTTATCGTTGTAAGACTACTGCGATTCATTCATAAGTTTGGCATTGCGACTGCCAGATTTACGTAAACATCACCACAGGGGGTAAAGGAACTCTTTGAGGCAATTGTACAGTATTGTATACATCCAAAGTTAAATATAAACAAAACAACTCATTTGACTTACTCTCTTGGGCGAGCGTCTGAACGATCCACATGAGAGCCTTAGAGATAATGTTCTTGACTACCATCCTGAAGATCTTAGTCTCAGCCCAAGCCACACACACCATGGCCATGCTCACACTCACCAAGCTGGCCAGGATCAACAACCACACCTGACCAACATGAATATATATTAAACAATGAAAAAACACAACAAAACCAGAAAACCAAAATTACCAAGTGTACTAGAAATGTTACTTAACATTCATAAATATTAACCAATGACAATAACAAAAACGAGAATATAACTATACTAGGAAACGATAATCTACCAGTAAGTGAAAAATAACTGAAAGCAATCATAAAATTCATTAGTTACATATTCTAAAGATACAGGGTATTTGGCCAACACCTGTAGAGTGAAAGGTTTGATGAAACCTGTTATATCACTCTTGACTCCTGGCCTGGGGGTGATGATGGCCCAGTTCTCATGTAGGAGAGGTATTGAGAAGTCACTGACGGTCATCCTTTGAGGTGTGACGGTAAAGGGACCCACGGCGAGCTGCACCTCCTGTAAAGCGAGCACATTGGATGATATGGGCGGTGCTTTAAGTTCTTATTTTCTTCTTGTACAGGAAATGAAAATAGTCTAATGAGAGAGAGAGAGAGAGAGAGAGAGAGAGAGAGAGAGAGAGAGAGAGAGAGAGAGAGAGACTATGACAGCAAAGGAAATTAAGAAACAAAGTGTGGGGAAACTAGAGCAAGTGAAAGAATGAAGAATAGAAAGAGGGAAGAAAGGCAGAAATGAGACAACAAGGGCAATATTTCAAGAGAAAGAGATACTAGCTTGTAGGTTACCTCCTGTTAATATGATTACAATAATGCTATGTCTTGTTTGCATTGTTTGTTGTTTGTTGCATGATATTGTTTTTAAGCACGTATTTGGTGTTCCAGGTATATGGTGGAGCTTAAAATATATTCTGAAACCAATGAACTGTGTTTTGATTTCATCATTGGTAGCAGAGCGTTGTTGTCAATTGAGAAGATGGCCTCAAGTCGAGATTATAAAGCCCCACCACCGATGAGGAATGACTTGCCCTACAACGAGTGGAAGCATGAGGCCCTAATATGGAGGGCCTTCACTCACCTGGAGAAAAAGAAGTTAGACCCTGCTTTGTTCCTGTTGCTGTACGATTCTGCATGTGATGCTGCAAACGAGGTGCAGCTTGATGTTTTAAACAGCGACAATGGTGTTGTTGTGCTTTTGACTGAGTTGGACAGTTTGTTTCTAAAAAAACAAGACACTGCTGCATTTGAAGCATATGATGCTTTTGAAAGATATCGGCGTCCAAGTAGTATATAAATACGTTTGAGCGATTGTATCAAATGAGAAAACATTTGAAATTGGGGTATTACTTGATAGTGTGTTTGCTATAGACTGCTGCGTAGTGCTGACCTGTCTTACGCTAGCATCACTTACTTATGATAATATGAAAGCTCATTAAAAAAGATATTTATTGATAGTGCTACAGCAAAGAATGCTCCTGCTGTTAAAGTAGAACCAACTAATACATATGGTGATAGTGTAGATGCTTTCTATACTCAGCGTGGTCGAGGGCAGAGTTATGGTAGAGGATATGGGTTAAGAAGGGGACGTGGCACGACTCGGTCAGTCGCCCGTGCCGGTCAGGGAGTTCAATGTAAAATGCCTACTAATCATCGTGACTCGTCTGGTAATATTTCAAGGTGAGCTGCATGTGGATCGTGCTTTCATTGGACTTAAAGTTGTCCTGATCGTGAGGTGTTTCAAGCTACTGTTGACGAACAGAATGAGAATGAGAAAGATGAAGAGATCCTGCTTGCAAAGAGCACTACGGAAATTAGTAATAAATTAGAAAATGGAGGTGAAGATGTTGTGCTGCGAGAGCCGTTCAGATCTGGGATTATTGATGGTGGTTATAGTAAGTCTGTGTGCGGCGAAATATGGTACAAATGCCATATAAATACTATGTCTGCCAGTGATCTTAAACTGATTAAAAAGGAGAAGATTCGCATGACCTTCAAGTATGTTGATGGAGTCAAGGTTATTTCTCGGAAGAAGGTAAAATTTCCTGCAGTGTTGGCCGGTAAACGAGTTTACATATCAGCGGATGTGATACCAAATGGCATTCCCCTGCTGCTGAGCAAAGAAGCCATGAAGAAGTGTGATGCTGGGTTGAACTTTTCTCGGGACAGGGCAATGCTTTTTGGTACTGAAGTCTCATTGTCTGTTACTACCAACGGTCTCTATATTGTACCTATTGGCCACCACCATATTAGTTTACCTGGTGCTAAGGAATGTATCTAACATATTCTTTTCCGCTCCAATTTTGAAAAGGCAACAGATGGCGACCGTTTCAAGATGGCTAAGGATATACACAAACAATTTGGACATCCCAAGAGCAGTAAATTACAGTCGCTTTGCTCAGATCCAGGTGTAGTAGATCATAGATTTCTCAAGATGTTTAATATAGTTGAAGAAAGGAGTGATATCTGCAGAAAATAAAAGAAGGCACCATCACGACCAGTAGTGGGCTTCAGCATGGCACACGATTTTAATGATGTTGCTGTTGTCGAGCTGAAGCAGTGGTCACGCAAACAGACAGTATGGTTTTGTCACATGATAGACCTGGCAACGAGGTACAGCTTGTGTGTTATAATGAAGAGAAAAGACAGAAGAACCATCCTGACCGCAATTATGTCGGGTTGAAACACTAAATTTTGTTCACCTCGTCAGCTTTTTTCTGATAATGGTGTTGAATTTAATAATGAGGATTTCAGGGAAATTGCTGGCGCATTCGACATACTGATTTATACAACTGCAGCGGAGTCCCCTTGGTCAAACGGATGTAATGAGATATATAACGGGAACATAGCAAACATGGCGAAAAAGGTCATGGATGACACTCCAAGCAGCTTAAAAATTGCTTTAGCATGGATAGTGTCTGCCAAGAATTCCTTAGAAAATTACAATGGGCTTAGTCCCAACCAGCTTTTCTTCGGGTGGAACCAAATATTCCTTCTTATTTGAGAAATTTTCCTCCAGCTTTAGATCCCTTGCCTCTAGCTGTGATTTGGTCAGAATCCACTTGAATGCGATGCACAAGGCCATGTGAAAAGCTACGTAGGTCATTGCTTCGTCAAGTCCGCCCTGGCGGGGAAATGCTCCTCACTGGAGATGTAGTGTTCAACAGACGTGGTCAAGAGGACAAGTGGAGAGGTCCAGCTACAGTAATTGGACAAGAAAATAAGCATAGTTATATGGTGATGAAAGATTTTCAATACCAATGAACACAAGCTTCCTTACATGAAATGTGTCCAGAAAACAGAAGCAAGATTTCATCACCCCAGGATACTGTATCATTTGATGACACGGATGATGAAGTTGACGACATCGAGGAACCCTCCCTTGTTTATGGGACACAGAATTGTTCGGTAAAGATGTGGCTTCTCATGTCAAAGGGAATGCGAACAAGGAAAGTGGGTCTAATGTTGAAGAGAGTATAAGAAATTCAACAACAAGAGTGATTGTTAAATACAAACCCAATCTTCCCAGCGTCAAATCTCGGATATCATTTTGTTCTTCATGGCAGCTCAGAATGGATGAATGCTACAGTTCTGGGTCTTGCGGGGAAAGCTACGGGTCGAAACAAGTTTTTGATAAAGATAGTGGATGTCGGGAATACCTCCGCTAAATGAATTGATTGGCAGCAAGTGGATGATTGGCAAGATCTACACCAGGATCTTGTTTATCTGTTCTGTGGTTGATATCATGAATGCAAAGATGAGTGAATTAAAGAACTGGCAGGAAAATAGGATGTTTACAACTTTCCCGGACCGTGGTCAAAATTGCACCAGTTGCCGATGGATTATAACTGAAAAAAAGAGAAACAAGATGGGAGATGCTCTTGTCATTGCTGCCTCCATGAAGTTGGTTTGTAATAGTTGTGATGTTAAGGCTGCGTTTCTTCAGGGTGCACCATTGCAGCATAAAAAATATTTTCGTCCTCCCCCAGAAGAGAATGCTAAAGGAGATGTATGGAAAGCGAAAACCTGCATATATTGTTCGAATGATGCCCGTAGGTATTGATACTTGCATGTGCGAGAAAAACTTTTGAAACTTGGCATGCGGGTCTGCGAGCTGGATGCTGCAATATTCTTCTGGAGAACAGATTCAGGCCTTATGGTATGGTACACCTCTTTTTCAGGAGGACATCATTGCCAAAATTCGGGAAATATTTCTATCGGGATCTGAAGAATCTGGAACTTTCAGGTACCTGGGATTGCATATCAATCAAAAGCATGATAAGAGGTTAATCGTACACCCAAATCCTCAATTGGACAAACTAGTGGAGCCGCATATCAGCCCTGAAAGAAGTATGCAGAAAGAAGATAACCTCACTGATGATGAAGTTACTGAACAACATAAGAACATAAGAATGGAGGAAACTGCAGCGGGCTTATTGGCTCATAATGGGCAGTCTCGTGTAAGCCCAACCCCTATCGCTCATATATCCATCCAACCTATGTTTGAAGCTCTCCTGTGTATTCGAGTTAATGATGATGTTTGGTAACTTGTTCCATTCATCCACTACTCTGTTTCCAAACCAGTGTTTACCTATTTCGCGCCTAAATCTAAATTTGTCTAATTTAAAACCATGGCTACGAGTTCGCTTAGCCATGACCTCCATTTATACACCTCGATCATATCGCCTCTCACTCTACGTTTCTCGAGGGAGTGCAAATTAAGATGCTTTGACCTGTTTCTGTACTCAAGGTTCTTAATGCCCGGGATTAGTCTTGTCATCCTCCTCCGAGTGTTTTCTAGGGATTCTATATCCATTCTGTAATACGGTGACCAGAACTGAACTGCGAAATCCAAGTGAGGTCTCAGAAGCACAAGATATAGTTTAGGATAACCTCACTAGTCTTATAACTAACACTCCTTTGTTAGCCTTGTTTCGAACAAATACACATTGTTGACTATATTTAAGATTCCTACTAATCATTACTACTAAATCTTTCTCACAGTCGGATTCCTCTATAACAACGTTGTTCATCTGATAACTGCTTTCTCTGTTTACATCTCCAAAACTGAGTACTTTACATTTGTCCACATTGAATTTCATCTGCCATTTTTCAGACCATTCTAAAATTTTGTTTAGAACTTCCTGTAGTTTTGTGGAGTCCTCGTCAGATTTAATTACACGCCCTATTTAAGTGTCATCAGCAAATTTATTTATGTTGCTGTCTACGCCTATATCTATGTAATTATGTAAATAATAAATATTAATGGTCTAAGTACTGAGCCTTGGGGTACTCCACTAGTGAAGTTAACCGAATATCAATTTCAATTTCATTAGTTTATTCCTTGATAGAGAAACCGGGATCCCAGTGCTGTCACTAGGTACCCCTGCACAATAATAGCAGAAGCATCTGGCAAGTATCACAAGTACATATAAATATTAAAAAGTGGCTTACTAAAGCCTAAGGAAGGACGGATATTCCTTCAACACTTCATCAATATTATTT